GAAAAAGAAAATAAAAAGATTAGGCTTCAAACTTTCCTTTTTGCTAAAGCATATAGTTAGGGCTGGACCAGGTGACCCTAAATCCTCCCTTAGTTATGCTGCAATAGATGAAGGCTACCGGGGTTTCCCATGATGCACTGGGTGTTTCTTCTTCACTCACTATGTATTAACAGACCTCTCTGCATTGAATCATATCTGTTATTAACCTCTGTCTCTCTTCCACAGCATGTCTGTATCCTGTTTCCTTCTCTCACCCCAACCGGTCGCAGCAGATGGCCGCCCCTCCCTGAGCCTGGTTCTGCCGGAGGTTTCTTCCTGTTAAAAGGGAGTTTTTCCTTCCCACTGTCGCCAAAGTGCTTGCTCATAGGGGGTCATATGATTGTTGGGTTTTTCTCTGTATCTATGAAGCGCCTTGAGGCGACTTATTGTGATTTGGCGCTATATAAATAAAATTGAATTGAATTGAATTGAAACATCCATAAGAGTCAGAGAGCAAAGGTTGGGATGACTTGTGCGATGGCAGAGATTAATCTTCGTGAGTCTGTGCCCTGAAGCTGCTGCTCGGAAACATAAAACACATCAGCGCTCACTTTCTCAATGACAACGACGCCAAACACACTCAGACAAAAGTCTGCCAACAGGCCAGCGTCCCAGCGCTAATGGAGCTCTTTGTTCTGAAATTGAAAAGTAAAAAAGAGAACGCTAAATCAACAAAGGTTTAAATATCCAGTCCAGTGTTGGCTCTTTTCCTCTGAGATAAACACCTATGATTACAGCTGATCTGTAATATATGAACAAAAATCATGCCAAGAAGAGAAAAACTGTTTTAGACCCTCACACAGCGATGGGAGCATTTTTAAACCATGCTCACATGTGACACATTTTACTGCCTCAGCCACTCGCGCTGACGGCTGTTCTGCACTCAGTCACAAACAGAGACAGCACGGAAGCAGCCGCGATACTCAAAACCTCCTTTAAAGTGGCGTCCCGTGGTTTTAAAGCTTCACAAGTGACGCAGAAACATTTGGCAAAGACTCGACCCTGAAGCAGCACATCTGCAGAAAACACACTCAGGTCACCTGACGGGGGCGCTCAGCTGGATCCAGATGACTAAACAGGCGTTCATCATGAACATGTTAAGTTAGTGCATTCACTGCAGTGTTGTCCTTGTTATTGTGGTCGTGCAGTGAGGCACAGTGTTTCTCATGACCAGCAGGAGGCGACGCTGCAGGATGAAGCAGGTTTGGGGAAGTCAGTGAGACAGGTGTGTCAGTCCCAGCTTATCCTTTATTCACATGCAGAGGTGCTGTTGTGGAGACGCAGCCAAAACCAAACCTCCATCTGTTCCTGAAGGCAAAGCTCCTGATGGACGTCCTGACTGACGTGGTCACGTCTGCCGCCTGGTGTCAGGGCGATGGCGGTGCTACATGACGTCGGCATTGGTAACAGATGGATAACTGATTTCAGCTCACCAATCATTTTAGAGCATGTTTTGCTTGAAGCGGTTTCTGTTCAGCAGGCTCGTGGATCACAGAGGACACGGTTTGATTTCCCAGCAGTTAAACATCACGACTGTGCAGAGGCACGCGCATTAAAGACAAATAGCCTTCGGCCTGTCATCGTTCACTCGTGGGAGCATTTAAAGGCTCGCACACACAGCTGCATTCATTTTGCAGAGGCATTAAATCCATTACTGAGAGAAATCACACTTACACAGGCTGTGCAGCCACATTTTAATATTTAATAATAATGGAAATTCAAAGCACACGGCCTCTCGGGCTGCTGTGACACGTTCAGCATGTAGTAGGAAAGAGTTCAGGCTCACAATGAGGATGAGAATGCTGCAAACACTGCTTGTCACGAGCCACTTGGAGAACGTCAGAGATGTTTCCTCAGCTGCTGTTTGAGGGGATTCACAGGAACGCTGCGGACCGTCTGCACAGACAGCACATTCAGTTAAACCATTAACGGGCTGTATTAGCGAAGCGACGGATAAAGTTTTACCTGAAGAAAAAAGCTCACCTTTGACCTTAAGATGCAGATGGACTGCTGAGTCTTGTCCTGTGGAGGTGGCTCTTCTATGTTGTGCCATGCGCTTGTGAAGTGGCTGTTTGGTCTCTCCAATGTAGAGGTCTGGGCATTCCTCGCTGCACTGTACAGCATACACCACATTGTTAAGTCTGTGTTTTGGAGTTTTGTCTTTCGGGTGAACCAGTTTTTGTCTGAGCGTGTTGCTGGGTCTGAAATGCACCGGGATGTCATGCTTGGAGAAAACTCTCCTGAGTTTCTGATACACCGGCTACATAGGGGATGACAATGTTGTTGCGTCTGTCCTTCTTATCCTCCCTCGCTGGTGTCTGATCTTCTTTTCTGTGCCTCTTTGCTGACTTTAAGAACGCCCATTTAGGATAGCCGCACGTTTTGAGTGCTTCCTTTACATGTGTGTGTTCCTTCTTTTTTCCTTCAGGCTTAGAGGGAACATGTTCTGCCCGGTGGTGTAGGGTCCTAATTACTCCAAGTTTGTGTTCCAGAGGGTGATGGGAGTCAAAGAGGAGGTACTGGTCCGTGTGTGTGGGCTTCCGGTAAACTTCGATGTTGAGTTTGCCGTTCTCTTCAATGTGCACGGCGCAGTCCAGGAAAGGCAAACAGTTGTCCTTTGTGTCTTCCCTGGTGAACTTGATGTTTTTATCCACAGCGTTAATGTGCGCAGTGAAGGATTCCACTTCTTGTGTCTTGATTTTGACCCAGGTGTCGTCCACATATCTGTACCAGTGGCTGGGTACTCTTCCTTTGAAAGAGCCAAGAGCCTTCCTTTCCACTTCCTCCATGTAAAGGTTGCTACAATAGGTGACACGGGGGAGCCCATGGCACAGCCATGTTTTTGTCTGTAGAAGCCTTCGTTGTATTTGAAGTATGTAGTGGTGAGGCAGAGGTCTAACAGTGTGCAGATCTGATCGGGTGTGAAGTTGGTCCTGTCCTCCAAGGAGCTGTCTTCTTGTAGTCGTTTTCTGACAGTCTCCACGGCCTCCGTGGTGGGTATGCAAGTGAAGAGAGAGACTACATCAAAGGACACCATGGTTTCATCTGGATCCAGGGTAAGTTTCTGGACCTTGTCGGTGAAGTCGGTGGAGTTCTTGATGTGGTGTGGGGTGTTCCCCACGAGAGGAGCAAGGATGGTAGCAAGGTGTTTAGCAATGTAAGTGGCTGAGTTTATGCTTCTAACAATGGGTCTGAGTGGGATCTCCTGGGTAAAGGCGGTGATATGTAGGGTGGTCAATGATTTTAGATGCTGTCCTCTGTCAGTGTTCCCTCACTCACTGTGTTTCTCGGCTATCCGTGTTGGACTTTGCTGTTTTGCTGCAGTCAGTCATTAATGATGGAGTTTAGTGAAACCTAGCATGCCTCCACATGTCTGCATCTCCAGCAGACTGTATTTTACTCGAGTCTTTTCAAACAGTCGTGTTCTTTATCCTCAGGATGCTCATCTGTGGATGCTGCTTCTGTTGGACTCCTTCATTCAAGCATGCTGCACACTGTCGACCATAATATCCTATTAGAGCGATTAGAACATGCTGTAGGTATTACAGGTACTGCACTGCAGTGGTTTGTATCATATCTATCTAATAGACTCCAGTTTGTGCATGTAAATGGAGAGTCCTCTTCACACACTGAGGTTAATTATGGAGTTCCACAGGGTTCAGTGCTAGGACCAATTCTGTTTACATTATACATGCTTCCCTTAGGCAGCATCATTAGAAGACATAGCATACATTTTCACTGCTATGCTGATGACACCCAGCTCTATCTGTCCATGAAGCCAGATAACACACACCAATTAGTTAAACTGCAGGAATGTCTTAAAGACAGTAAAGATCACAACAAATCAGTCCCCTCAAGGCGCTTCAACTCAGAAATCCCCCCTATCTCTTCTCTTTTTTTTAAGGACATTCTATGACACTGTGGTAGCATCTGCCCTTTTCTATGCAGTGGCCTGCTGGGGGAGTGGATGCATGGACAGGGACAGGAGCAGGATTGACAAACTGGTGCGGATGTCCCCTGGAGTCTGTGGAGGTGGTTGGTGAGGGAAGGATGTTAGTAAAGGTGACATCCATCATGAACAACCCACATCACCCACTGCATGAGTATGTGAGTGGGCTGAGCAGCTCCTTTAAGTCAGAGACTGAAACACCCTCGCTACAGGAAGGAGCGCTTTCGCAGATCATTCATCCCAACAGCAGTTAGACTCTATAACTCCTCAATCACGATGTCATAAGTCACTGGACACTGTGAACATCCACTGTCACCACTTCATGCATAATGGACCTTCCATGTGTATAGACATGTGCAGGTATATATGTATCTATATGTATACATATGTATATTTAGTGTGTACGTGTGTGTGTGTACATGTCTATAAACAGGAATAGTAGTGGTACAATAGCTATATCAAGCTATATAGTTTATGTCTTCCATATTTCCAACCATATCCATAATCACATACTGTGTATGCTACCATTGTATATAGTGTATTATCTGACTTTTTTTCATTGATTGTACTTATTGTATTTTTGTATTTCCTTCTGATATCTGTACCTGAGCTGAGGTGACGCAAAAATTTCCCCGTTGTGGGATCAATAAAGTCTTATCCTATCTCTTATCTTATCTTCTTTGCAACAGATTCCAGTAGTTAGTTAAAGATAGTCAGTATTATGTTTGTGAATGCACATTGTAAAAACAAGTGAGGAAAAAGAGCAAGGTGGAATAGTTGAAATGTGGCTTGATAAATATGGAGAGGGATAAATTTGCTGTTTTCCCGGAGGGACTGGCGGGCCGTGCTGTTGGGATAATATATTTTTTCATTTTTTCTTAGAGCTCAAATATGGTACACAATAGGATAAACACAACGGTCATTTTTATTTTGATATATTTCCTGTTATATCAAAGTGCATTCCTATTTATTACCCGTGGAGAGCAGCAACAGGCTCGGATGACAGTAAGCAGCCTCAGTTTTCAGTAGAGGAAGAAAGCGGAGACGTCACATGGAGAGATACAACAGCAGTAGCTGCTACACCACTAATCACACAACATTAACATAACTAGCTACTAAAAGCTAACCTGGCTAGCTAATTGTTTTGTCTTCTTCATGCAGTCGGATTTGCAAATTTGCAAGAAACAAAATTCATAGACGGTGCAAAACGGAAAACAATATTACGGTCACACACAGCTACCGTGGCCTCTTCTTGCATCCAGTAGGCAGGGTATTTAGGCTAGCTAGCGACTCTGCCTTGGCTAGCGTCAGGCTAGCCAGCTAGCTAGCTAGCTACTAACATCGCTATCGGTAGTTAGCTAGCTAGCGAGCTGTAGTAACTTACGTCATGGAGGAACTAGTCGTGGAAGTAAGAGGGACAAGTGGGGCTTTTTATAAGGTAAGTTGTTGACTTTTGTCGAGTTTAGTGACCACCGTTCACACACTATGTACCAAGTAAGCCTAACTAACATGAAATTGTGTCACGGGGCTAGCTCAGTGTTATATGTGGGCCTCGGTGCTTCTGCTCAACGTCTACCGGGACCTGAAACCTGTAAACAAAGCTAACGCTGCGGTGGGGCTCTAACATCAGCGGTAGTGGATAAATTGGTGAACTATTGGTGATAATGACGCTTAACCAGGGTAGCTGTTTTAGCGGTATCGGTAACGCTGATGTGACTGCTGTACGATGGTACCCCTAAAGTGATGTGCAAGGGTTGGTTGCAGACTCACAAACATCAGAATCAATCATGGGTTGGCTGTTTTTTGCTTTGGTCAAAGTAAGTTAATTCAGAGCAGCACACAGGGGCGATGGTTTGGCTAACCTTTATTGTGCCCGTAGCTGCCAGGTGTTTTCTTGTTTTGTCAAGACTGCAGAGATTTTGGGGTCAGTCAGGCAACAAGTAGATCATAAATCCGATCCCGTGACCTGCGTGTATCACTGGGGTGGGGTGGGGGAGATAACATAAGCAGTACAATGGGATAACACGCTAATTAGCAATAATTACTTACATTTGAATATTGTTTAATTCAAGGACACAAGAATACAATGAATGGTGAAGAATCTAAATAAAATGATACATTTATTATTTATTTATTTTAGCTGTCAGGTTTGTTGTAGTGTAAATATAGGATGACATATATCTCAAGTAAAGTTCTGACAGATGTCTTTTTAAAGCTAATAGTTTTGTTGTGGCCACATTAATGCGAGGTACATGAATGCTGTGAGTATGCTGTATAATCAGGGTAAATAGTAATTGGAATTAATCTTGATTCAGGTCACAGACTCTCATTAAGCTCAGCAGTTGCCATGTAAACCATAGACTTTCATGCTGTGCTCAAAACTTGTATGCTTTCCCAAATCAAGAGGCTTTTCCTTTGAATGTAGGAAAGTTGAAGTTGGCACTGTCAGCTGTACTTTGGCTTTTAGCTAGGTGTGGCACTAAACAGAAGCCTTTCTTTTAATAGTTGCAATCATATTGTTAGCAAGTACAGAACCATATGAATGGGTGGGTGTGTCCGAACATTTGACTGGTGCCATAGCTTGAATGATAAGTTTTACTGTCAAACAGCTATGAGAAAAGTTAGGCTAATTTTTGTTAGATAGTAGTCTGATTTGAAAAAATCCAGTCCCACCAGGTAACTCTTAAGAATACTTTCATTAGCCATACATCTATCATAACCTACATGTATACCACCATTATATTTAATGTATTTTACCTTATGTAGATCAATCTAATAAGATGATGTAGGTGTGACTGCTTACAAGTATAAGCAGATACACAACAAGAGGGTGACTTTGGCAAATGTCTTTCTGTTCATCAGAAAATGCCCAGTGTGTTCAAAGAGGCTTATTCATAGTGCTTAAAACTTAGGCAGTTTGTTCTTCTCTTGGCCCAGTATGATGTCACTGAGAGCAAATATCCCTAATATTGTCATCTTAGGTACACAGTTCTGACTGAAACCCCACCCACCTGCTGTTCACACCTTCTGTTTGCCAGGGGTTGACTGGCAGACAGTTGGCCTAATAGGAGTAGAGCTAAAATGGTTTAAAGATGAATTGAGCTGCACCAGCAAGAGATAAATGTGGATTATTTTCAATTGTGAATCATGCAAAGCTAGTGTAGTAGACTGTAATCGAGTAAAAGGAATAGTGTAATAGGTCCACTTTAAAGGAGACTTATTTAAGGAGCAGTTACCTTTGCTAGATGGCAGCATAACTCCAACACAGGGAGTTGCATCTTACTGCAGATCACTTGCATGATTTCAATGTTAATAAGCATTCAAATTTTAGTTAATGAATCAAGAGTTTTGAACGTAATCATTTTAGTTAGTTGTTGTGAGGATGTTGATTGACTAAATGTGTAGTTGGCAAATAATTTTTATAGTGTTTTTGGTGATAGTTGAACTGAAAAATGACACCCTTGTCTCTGGCATTATAGCAAAACTTAAAATATGCTCTTGGCTGAAATGAACAGCCAAGAGAAATAATGAGTGCATTCATCTGCCAAGTAAGAATAATACTAAAGAAATAATTGTAGAAAATGGTTCTGCCATAAATCACTTGAGTGAGAAACTTAATTTTGCGGTTTTTAAATTGCACCTTATGCAGCATAGAAGTCATTCCTCTTTTTTATTGTAATCTCAACAGCAGTACAACAAGTGCAGTTTACTGCCAGTAGACTAAACTACATTATCTCCTAATGCACCCTCTGCGTTACCCTCATATTTTGTGTTTTGGTATTTTTCCAGTTTTAACAAGATTAATGTTCTTGCAAAAGTCTGAACTTCGTTTCTGAGTGAGACAGTTCAGTCAGTCACAATCCTAAACATGCTCACAGGTCAGTGAGGTCCTGTCAGAATTGGTTTATTTGTTTTTTTTAACCTTGGGAGTTTTGAGAATCTCTCCTTGCTTCATTTCATCCACCACTGACTGCTAGCTTGCCAGGTTAATGCAACCCATTGGCAAGGCTCTCTAGCGCTCTCTTTTCCTTCTAGGCATCGCATGGCCTACTTGCAGTGTTTGACACACATGACACACACATCAGCTGTGTGTAGAAGCAGCGAGAGAGAGAGAGAGACTGAGCCAAACCTGACTCGAGCCCAAAGCTCAGACTCCAGAAAAGGAAATTATTTAGGTTGTTTCATTGCTAGGAGCATTAGGATAAGGTCCGGCTTAAGCAGTAGAACTGGTTCCTGTTTACATGGTCGATGCCAGTTTGACTTGCACACTGACTATTTCAAAGATATTTCAAAACTGAATTTACTTCTGTGACTCTTGCAGGGCTTTGTAAAGGATGTTCACGAAGGATCTGTCATGGTAGCATTTGAAAACAAGTGAGTAAAGTAAAATATAACATTGTGTAATATGTCATTTCTTTGCCAAACAATAAAATGAACTTTTTGTGTTTGTTCCTCTGTCCCAGCTGGCAGCCGGAGCGGCAGATCCCATTCCAGGATGTGCGCTTTCCTCCTCCAACAGGGTTCTGCAAGGAGATCAGTGAGAGCGATGAGGTCGAGGTGAGAAAGTGATTGTTGCCATCAGACATGGTGGGTTTGGAAAGCAAAGTTGGTATAGCTGGGGAGCAGTTTGGAATAGCATGGAGCGGAGTGAGTAGAGTTGAATTTTCAGTGTAAAATAAGATTTTAAAAAAGAGGGTGATGCTCCTTAGATAGTCTTATATTTTCTGTTCTATCATTGGTAAATTAGTCTGACTTGTTATTTTTATTAATAATATTATTCACAATGATTTCCTGTATCAGTGTGTCCAGTTGTTTCTGTGCCAGTTTACTCTTATCAGCTTTGTTTAAAGGTGGGAATTATTTCTGAAATGAACTGTGTGTGTGTGTCTGCCAGGTGTATTCTAGGGCGAATGACAAAGAGCCATGTGGATGGTGGCTAGCCAAGGTTCGCATGGTCAAAGGGGAGGTAAGACATGCTCCAGTTCATCTGTAAGGCTCACCAAGCAGCACTGAAACAACATGGCTCTGATAAATTTGCCTAAAACGCAGCCCAGACACTTGCTCCATCCTAAATGCTTTAATATCACAACTTCCTTTATTAATACTAAATACAGCCATGTTTACTGACAACATTTTACACTCATGAAATGTTATGTACTCATAAAAATCCTTTTTATCAAGCTCACTGCAGATATTTAACTTCAGTGTAACATCATTTCTCTGGTGACAGATGTCAGTGTGTGGTTGAGTTTTACAATCCTGAACAACACATTAACTCAATGACTGATTGAATTCAGACTATATGCCCCAGATGTTCTTTATATCCTTGTATTTCCATTTTCCTCTGGATTTTTTGTGCACGTAAGCTCTTCCTCTGTTTGTCCTCCTGTTGTCTTACCACCATCAGATGTACTTTCTTCAAAAGAAATTTTTAATAATAGTATGACTTATTTAAACTTTTGAAAAAAAGTGATGTTTTTCTATTGGATCGCTCATACTTGATCTGTCTTTGTTTCCAGTTTTATGTAATAGAGTACGCCGCATGTGAAGCCACATTAAATGAGATAGTGACGCTGGAGAGGTTACGGCCGGTCAACCCGAATAAACCAGCCACCAAAAACACCTTCATTAAGATCCGACTGGATGTACCCGAAGATCTACGGCAAATGTGAGTTTGACTTGCATGAATAAAGACTGGTGCACAAGTTTGAAATTATTTGGATTTTCTGTAATCCACATGGGGCCAAAAGCATGCATACACTACCCACTAACTTGTGGTTAAATGTCCCTTAGCAAGGTGCGCCTCAACCAGAAGCTTTTGGTAGCCATCACCAAGCTCCTAGCATAATTATAGCTGGACTGCTCATCTTGGCAGAATTGGTCAAGTTCATTTAAATTGGTTGATTTGTTGGTAAAGTTTAGGAAGTCCATTCCAGAGCCATTTCTAAATAACTAAAAATTCCAGAAGCATCAATTTAATGTTACCACTTTGACGAGGTCTAGGAGAAGACCCCAACCGTCACCCTCAGATGAGAGGAATTTGGTTACATTGTTCAGAAACAGCCAAGGCTCAGCTGTGCCCTGAGATTGAGACTGCTGGAACATCAGCAGAGAAACTAGTTTTACATCACCAAGAAAGAAGCCCCTACTCTATAATTGACGCCTTCAAGCATGATGGAAATTTGCACCTGTGCAGGTAGACAAGTCAGATGCCTTCTTTAAACTTTTGTTTTAAAGTTTTATGGTCAGAAGAGACAAAGACTGAGCTATTTGGTCATAATGACAAGGTATATTTGGAGAAGTAAAGATCAGGCTTTCAGGGCTAAGACCTGTACCAGCTGTCAGACATGGTGGTGTCATCATGCTGTAGGGCGGTTTTACAGAGCTGGAATACTTGAAATTCTTCAACTTCAAAAGACATAGTTGGGTGTTCCTACAGGATAATGACCCCAAACACATCAAAACTAGTTCTGGGATGGATAAGACAAACAAACATTTAGTTGCAACTTGAATTGAGACAATTAACCGACTATTCGTCTGGGTGCATCTGTATATTTAATCCTATATACATATTTTTGACCCTGTGTGCATGAGAGAAAATCCAAAATAATTTCACATTTGCCATTAAAGTTGTATGCTGCACAATCTTTTCATCCTAGAATATTAATCGTTCAAAGAAATAATTAAAAGCTTAAGATTACTGTTACATTCTTGACCACAACTGTACGGTCAAAACTTGACTTACTCCAGCTTGTATATGAGCCTGTACTCCCAGAAGAGTTTGTATGTGTACATGTATCCACAAGCTGTTATCACTGAGGACAAATTCATTTATTAAGCAACTTGTTTGCTGGTTTCACTATGATAAAGTATACGTGTTCTTGTGTTCCCAGGTGCTCCAAGGAATCAGCACACAAAGACTTCAAAAAGGCTGTGGGAGGGTTCAGTGTCACCTACGACTCAGAGAAAAAGCAGCTGGTCATTTTGGTTGGTCAAACTGTTGTTTTTCTTCTTAATGTGCTACATTTTCACACAATCATATCCTCTATTGACCCTTGCATAGCATCACCTTGAAGTGAAGTGCATCCATAGGTGACTTAAAACATCAGAACCTCACTCGTGTATGATATTAATGAGCGTAATGTTTGATTGTTACAGTCGGTGAATGAGGTCACAACAAAGCGGGCCAATATGATGAGCGACATGCACTTCAGGAGCCTCCGCACCAAGCTGTCTCTAATGCTGAGGAACGAAGAGGCCAGCCGACAGCTGGAGGTAGGTTACGCACAGCTCCAGCCTGTATGTGGCTGTTTGGATCATTTTGCAGCCTGGGATGGAGAGTTTTTAAAGGGTTTCTTTTCAGTAAACTTACACACCCTCTTTACTCTTTTGTGCAATTTATTAAATGTTAATTAATGAATTTTTTTGATGTGCATTTCTTCAGAGCTCCAGACAGCTGGCGTCTCGGTTTCATGAACAGTTTGCTGTTCGGGACGATTTAATGGGTCTCGCCATCGGGACTCACGGGGCCAACATTCAGCAGGCGCGTAAAGTTCCTGGAGTCACTAACATAGACCTGGACGAAGAGACCTGCACCTTCCACATATACGGAGAGGTAGGAGGGCTTTACTTGTACACAAATGAGCTGAGACAGATATGTAGAGCTTGCCCTCATTAATGTTAAGTGGGTACAAATTTAACAGACCAGCATGGGGTAAAAAAAAACACAAACAAAAGTAAGTATACCTGTTTTGTATTTCATGGAAGGACCAGGATGCTGTCCGTATAGCCAGAAGTTTCCTGGAGTTTTCCGAAGATATCATCAAAGTTCCCCGGAACTTAGTAGGTGAGAAAGTCGCTCAACCGAGACAAAGAAATGAATCATCGGGTACCTTTATTTTACTTGATTTAATCCAGTTTCAAGTTCAGCCAGAGTGAGACTGATGTTTTTTCTCATGCAGGGAAGGTGATTGGCAAGAACGGCAAGCTGATTCAGGAGGTGGTTGACAAGTCCGGTGTGGTTCGGGTTCGTATTGAGCCTGAGAACGACAAAAAACCATCAGCGGCAGCGGCAGCAGCTGCTGATGAGGTCAGTAGGGAGAGAAAGTTGCGTCGTGTTGCTGCATTAAAAATCATCACAGTAAATACAGCAGTGTTAGAGCTCAATCACTAAGAGGATTCAAACTCTCCTGGTCCTCTGTCACAGGGAATGGTGCCATTTGTGTTTGTGGGAACCAAGGAAAGCATCTCCAATGCAACAGTACTACTAGACTATCACCTCAACTACCTTAAGGTTTGTGTCCTCAGTGATGTCATCTTCTACCAACCAAACATCAAAACGGAGCTAAAGCATGTGGTCAGGCAGGGATAGAGTGGTGGCCCCAGTAGGTAGAGTGGTGGCCCCATGACCGGAAAGTCGGTGGTTCGAATCCACTGAACGGCTACCCTGAGGTACCCCTGAGCAAGGTACCGTCCCTACACACTGCTCCCCGGGCGCCCAATGGCTGCCCACTGCTTCACTGAGTGAATGGGTTAAATGCAGAGAGGAATTTCCCCACAGGGATCAATAAAGTATACTTTCTTTCTTTTCATTGTTGACCTTCTGTGACGTTTTCGTTCATGTCCACAGGAGGTGGACCAGTTGCGACTGGAGCGTCTGCAGATCGATGAGCAGCTGAGACAGATAGGCGGTGGAGGCGGAGGGGGGGGGACAGGGCCCCGAAACCCTAAAGACAAAACCTACGTGTTCGATAATGGAATGGGGCTCGGGATGGGCCGAGGAGGGGGAGGAGGAAAGCCCTATGGAGGAGGGGGAAGAGGTGGACGAGGGCGGAGAGGAGGAGGAGCTGCTTTTGCCTCAGGTTTGATAGTTACTGCATCCATATTACTGCGGGTAAACTACAAGAGCTGATGTACTCTCAAGTCAGTCAGCTGCAGATGTTTCATGTAAAATTTGTTACGTTGTTACTGCACTTAGTATTTTCAGGTATCTGTAGTTGGGTATTTATTTTTATCACAACTTTTTACTCCCTACATGTTAGCATAAATATCTGTACTTTCTGCTCCTTGAATTTGGAAAACTGGCTCATTACTTTAGGTCTAACACATTTGAGGGAAGTAATTACTTTATGTCGCTGAGCACCTTTAAACATTCAACCAATCTGAACCTAAATGGAGGGAACAATAAAACATAGTCTGCATTAAAAGGAGTAATGTTTTTTTTAAGTGGCAGCTGATTTCAGATGCAACGTTTCAATCAGCTAATGCATAAACTGTTTATATGCAGTTTGTCACACAGTGTGTTGCTAGCTACAGGTCCAGCTGCTGTATTTCACAGGTAGATAAAAGAATTACAGTTAACTTCACTCAGAGAAAGATGAGAAAGACAGGAGAGGAAGATGAACAGAGGTTATATTTAAAGGTGAGGACTTCTCATTGCCATTTGATAGACAGGACATTTAAATCAAGCATCAGCTAATATCTTGATGAATTCAGTTGTTTAAATCGACTCTGAGCAGCCTGCACACAAAGAAAATGTACTGGAGCCCTGAACAAAGACTATTGCTACTTATTTCTAAGTGATTCTTCTCCCTACGCTGCACCACTACAACCAACCTTAGGTTTCCTCACCAGACAAATCCCACTTCAGCCGCTGACTACACTAATTCTTCTGTTTAGGTATGGAGGTAAAGTCATCCATCAGCTGGTAACAGTATCCTCCAAAGAGCTACTTACGTTTATAAAAGTGTCAGAGCTTCTACTTTTTTAAAATAAAAAATTTGAATCAGTTTTTCACCTTTTACCAGATTTTTTTTTTTAACAGAAGTACGTATAGGAGAAAGTCTCCTGTGATTGTTTGGTTTAGATGTAAAAGGCACAATGACAAAGCAAACGAGCAGATTCTCGGCCATAGATTTATGTTCTTGTGATTTCATTTCATATTGAAGTAAAGCGTTTGGACATCTGATATTTCAGTAAAAACGTTTCCCCAGGCGATGATCTGATTATGAAACGACAATTAATCAAAGGTTGAGTCTGTGTTGTCTTTCCGAGGCAGCCGAAATGAGGTTGGACTTTGTCCTCGGTCCCCCAGGCACCAACTCTGAGGCATCCAACGCTTCAGAGACAGAGTCAGACCACAGAGACGAGCTCAGCGATTGGTCACTGGCCCCCACGGAGGAGCTAATGACAGGAGGTGGGACCCTGCCCAGACGGACAGATGGGAGGAAGAGAGGAGGCGGCGGTGGGCTGAGGGGACGAGGAGGGAGAGGAAGAGGAGGGGGAGGATATAAAGGTGAGTGTTAATTATCATTGGCGGTCTTTGATCTTTTCACAGGACTCTTATCTCATTCCATGATTTGTCTCAGCCCATTTTTGGAGCATTTACACTTTGTCTAAAAAATGATCAATGCAAAAGCTTGCTAAATGTTTCTATTAATCAGATAATAATGAATGGAATTTATTTTCATTTGAAAAAATGAAAATATGAAAACGATTAAAGAGAAAAAAGTTGGTGTGTAATGACTCAAAAGAAATAACGTTTTGAGATGCTTTTCATCAAATTATGGCCTAAAGAATGGAAATAAATCACATCATGAGATCTCTGCAGACCTCCTGTGCAAATAAATTCTCATTATGAGTTTTCTTTTCAAAACGATCCATATTTATATTGAAAGAAACTATTTCTCCCAACTTTAATCTAATTAGGATGTACACGAATTTCACCCTATTTTTACCTGGCAAAAGGTAGGTCACCTAAGACTGAGTCTACTGAGCCATGCGAAGATTGTTTACATGACTGTGGCTAACTTTGATTGCTAACTTGTTGTTTTTAATGTTGGTTTAGGTGAAGACATGCAGTGGAACGAGCCGAGAACTCGTCACATCAGAGACTCAAAGACAAGAGGCCAAGAAGACACTCTGCAGGTAACAGTCACAAACAGCTGCTGCTAAGTTATTTTCATGTCATTGTTTAAAGTCTAATATCTTTGAAACGCTCCTCAAAATTCTGTAAACATGCTTTTCAGTGAGCATGCCCTGATTGATCCTTCTTTCTGGCATTAAAAAAACGGCCAAAATGCAGAAAAAATTCAAGTATTCTAAATTCAGTATGACCTGAAATGAGTGACTAAATCCATTAAAGCATCAGGAAAGTGTTCAAGGATATTTTTCAGTCATCTGTAGGACCAGGGTTTTTTGTAGGCACATCTGTCACCCCTGGTGGTCATTAAAAGGAAAAAAACTACATCTGTCTTTATAGTTTTACACCTATAGTTTGTTTACTCCGGTTCAAATCAGATGTTTGGTTTGTTTTCACACAGAAAAAAGTGAAATAAAATGCGTCACTACAAACCATGTGACCATTCAGTCGGCTCATTGGTCAGATGTGTCTGGAGCGGGTGCATAAAAAAATGTAAATACAGGAAGAAGGTGCTTTGCTCTGGACTACTGGAGAATGCAGAGAGTTTACGTTCATTTCACAGCTAGCTGCTGAACAGACCTTTGCGCATCTATAGTGCCTTCCCGAGATCAGCGTACATAGTTATGGGATGTTTTGTAGCTCAAACTTGTAACGTACTCCTGTTAGCTGATTCATGTTGTGTTCATACCTGCACAAACAAACCACACAAAATGTGGGGAAACGAACAGAGTTAGAACTGACAACACGCCGCAGGTGTGCAAACACCCTTCTACTCTTCATGGCTCCCTTTTAGAGCCACCCTCAAGTGGCCATTACAGGAACTGCAGTTTTTGACCACTAATTTTATTTTGCAGCTACAAAGTTTGGAAATTCTGTTTCAAGCAAGACATTTAAAGGAGGTGATGATTGTTTACAGTGAGATGATGTAGATCACTTAAGATGATAAGATAATACAGCTGAATAATATTTGAGGCTGACTGTAACTATTTACGTTTCTATTTTAAGCCATGCTTATTTAATGAATTCTCAGTGCTTTGCAAAAACAATCCAGCTACTTCAGCATACTGGCAAATATTATGAGACTGCTACTAATTTTTGAATCATTTCTTCTGCAAATATTGTTTACCCTTACACCACTGTCACAGTCAACAGTGCTATTTTCTGCATATCAAATGTTCCCTCTGTTTGACACTCCAAACCTCAACTGTCAACAAGACACTCTCTGTGTTGTCACACACTCAAAGTCCTGCCTGTTCTCACTGAACATCACTGTAGGACACTTTCTAAGATGGGGCTATATTTAGTCCTAACTTAACTTTCTGCTTGATTCGTGATTGCAGCAGGTTTGACATATGTAAAGGTGCACAGCACGGTGGGGTGATGGTTTAGTACCACTGCCTTACAGCAAGAAGCTCCTGGATTTGATCCACCTGGGGCCTTTCTGTGTTTGCATGTCTTGCTCATGTCTGTGTGGGTTCTCTCCGGATACACCAGCTTCTTCCCAAAGTCCAAATACATGTGGGTTAGCTTAACTGGGGATTTTAAGGTGGCCGTTGGTGGTCCCTTTTGCCCCACAGGACCTCTGAGGTGATCTAAGGAACGTTGGCAGTGGACACTTGTGGTCTTTTTTTGGAGGAAACTTGTTCTATAATGAATTGTGATATGAAACACTTGAAGGCTGTGTTGTCTACATCAAGTGTTTTTGCACTATGCTGGACATCACCACACTGTGCTGTTTGGGACACTACAGCCCTTCAGGTGCTACTGCTATATAAGGGTTTGCCTGTTCTGCAGCAGTTTTTAGGTGGGTGGTGCATGTTAAATAACAGCTGCATGAACACAAGGACCAAAGCTCTTTTAGCAGATTTGTGCATCATAACAAGGTGATCATTGTTTTTCACGTCAGCTGAAAGAGGTACTGAAATTGTGGCGTTATAGCATTGTTCCTGCTAATTAAAGTCAGGTTTTCAGTACAGCTGTGAATGGACTGTACCAAATGCTTCAGATAAGCACTGACATCTGTGTGAATGATCCGTGTATCCAGAAACAGGTGGAAGTCCGCCCTCTATCTATCACACACTTTGTGTTGACAGCTGGTCAGCTAGCATTGACTCATACACAGTAACAGAGTATAAACCACTGTTCGTTTCTCAGCTTTGTCTCAGAGAAGAACTCGTTTTCTTTAGTCTGACCCTCCTGAACGCTCCTCCTCTGCTTCTAGTAGTGGATTTACTGAGATGCAAAATATTTTACAGGACAGGCAAAATGTAATTTCTATTACTTTTATTTTATAATAACCTTTTTGTGAACGATGCATTTCTACAGTTTATTAACCAAATAAAACAAAAAACAGAATTGCCATACAAAAACCTAAAATAACCAGGCTGAAACCAAACTGATAAATAACCTGGTGCAGGGAAGACTGAGGCAGGTGCAGGTGCTGCCCCTCCCCAAGTCTGGTCCTGCTGATGGGTTTTTCCTGTTAAAAGGGAGTTTTTCTTTCCCACTGTTTCTACTGCTTGCTCATAGGATTGTTGGGGTTCTCTCTCATAATACTGTTACAATATAAAGCACCTTGAGGTGACTGCTGTTGTTATTTGGTGCCATATGAAAAGCACGCAGCAGGCTGCACCGAGGGTAAAGGGAAAGTTAGCTGTGTAGTGTGGGGCCAGACTCTTATGGATTTCTTTATTTTTCTACCCGCAGATTCGTGTGGACGGGAACAACGAGCGTAGCGTGCAGCACTCCTCAGGTGGCCGAGGCGGTCCGTCCTCGTCCCAGGGCAGTCTCAGTGGCAGCGGCGAGGGACAGCCCCGCCATCATCATCAGAGACCTACTAGAGACAGAGGGATGAAGAAGGAGAAACAGGACGCTCCCGCGCTGGTGAACGGAGTGTCGTAGATACCCCACTGGAGGACCTTCTCACTTAGACACACACACACAGGCAACTCATCACAGAACATCGTAGAGTCTCAGTCTCTGCTTTTTCTTTTCTTTCTCTGTCTAACACAAGAATACACATATTTCCATCAGCATGGAAGTGTTTACAGTAGTGAAGTCTTAGGCTGGAGGTGATCTTGTATCTGCTGGTCTGGTCTGTTCTTGACTGGTGTTGTATCTCCTGCGCATTCTCTGGATGAAAGAAGAGGAGGAATTAGACTAAAGCTCATCTCACAAACAACCATTAACACCAAACATACTCGTGCCCCACTAAACCAACATAGAGTTTGTTTACTGATGCCCCATTTGGACTTGCTAATGTGAGAGAAAAAAATGAGGCAAAAGAAATCATTGGCCGTCGGGAATCAAAGATTTGCAGCCACTGGAGAAAGCAGGATGGAATATGTGCCCTCGCTCCCTGAAAAGCACACTTTTAGGAGGTGGCTTCAGTTTTTTCGGCAGGTCTAAATTTTATTTTTGGTTGTGTGAAATCTCCAACACATCCTTTATAATGGAACTGTTTTGTCCAGAGAAGCGAGTCTCTGTGGGAAATCAGCTCTATTATTCCACAGAGACTTTTGAGGTTAACTATCAATTTAAACACATCTTTTCAATGAGGGGCAGAAACGTTTCGGTGTCACCCAAATGACATGCAATCCTATGGGGATTCAGACTGGAAGATGATGTTTGTAGAGGGCACTTTATGGACTTTCTTTCTCTCTTTCTTTCTAACGTAGTTATTGTTTCTTTCTTCTTTTTCTTTTTTCTTTTTTTTCAACATTTAAAAGCATCCATGTTTCAGAATGAAATGCAAACGGGGAGGCATGAGCTCTGAAGTCACCTGTGTTTTGTTTCCCGTTGCCTTGATATTCAGATTCAGTAAAACTTATCGAAACGTACAAATGGAGAGACATAAATCTGAGGCACACTGATGCACATAAACTGCTTAAACACAGCGACTCCCATGAGTTTGTGTCAGGGTACATATTGTTATGAACTGTTCTCCTTTCCGAAGGAAGGTTACACCCCTGTACAATGACCAGAAATGCATTATTCCTGCGTGTTTACAATTAGTCTACCATAAACACTCCACATGTGTGCAGTGGTGTTAGTCCACAGTGAGGGACTAAGCTCCCTGAACTCATTCATCTCATCTGTAAAGAGCTGTCAGCAGGAATCACCATCCTATACCAGACTCTTCATCCTCTTCAGTGAAGGGTGCAGACTGAAGCTAGGCGTATTTTGGTTAGGTCCACGTAAACCTGGCTTGATGCCCGTTAAAGTCATTTCTTTTGCTTTCAGACAAGCAGGATGCATTTAGAGCAGCTAACTCCTGTCGCACCACTTTGTTTTTCTTAATTTATGAAACTCTTTGTATTTAACTTTGCCATGACAAACTTATTTGAAGTGTAACTGTAGAGGACATGACAGACTGTTGAGTTTTTCCTTGACAAAATAAAAATTTGGCCTAAGTTTTATTCTTTTTGGTGATCTTATTCCTGACCCGTTCAGTTCACATATGTTTTCTTTTAGTTTTTTTTTTCTTCTTGTTTTTGAACAGTAGAGCAGTGTGATAGCAGTCATGCTCCATCCATTGATTTTCCATCCATCGATTTTTCGATCCATCGATTTTCTGATTCAGGGTCTTGGGGACTAGGGCTGATCCCAGCTGACTTTGAGAGGCAGAGGTCCATCACAGAGCCTTTTCCATCCACACCCACTGAAGTGTGTGAAAAGTCTTTATCTCTGTGCCTTTGATTTATGCTCCTCCATTTCTCTGAATTTGGCCTGAACAGATTAGAACTTTTCATCCTGCCTGTTCAAACCCAGCGCTACACCCCTCCTTTAAAACATACTGCAGATGGATGTTTTGTAGAGTGAGTGGTTGTGTGACCCTGTTTACATTGGTTTCCATTGTTTTGAGGAGGCACAGCGGTGTAGCCTGCTGAGGTATTTTATTCTAGGGTGAGACCAGTTTTCTGACCTTGCTCGATACTTTTCTGCTTCGAGTCAGAGCTCTTCGAGGCGCTGACGTAAACAACCGGAGCAGCAGACGGTTCGTCTTCAAACAGCTCAGTAACTTTGTGTTACCAGTGCAGGCTTTCAGACAACAAAGGAGCAAGACTAAGCAGGACATCGCTTCAAGCTCTTGAGGTGTTCCAACCTGCTGTTCGGTTGACACCCCAGTTGATCACTGACTTCGTAAATATGTTGAATAGAAGGATCCTTAGGTTCACCGTAAACATCTAAATAGCGAGAGTCAAATGTAGGCTGCAGCGAGGCTGTTGGTCATTGACATTGTCAAGTTGTCCTAAAGTCAAAGCGACTGCTGTGCTGTATACAGGCTAGTGTAGAGAGGACCTGTGGGTGATTATGATGAAAATAATACTCATTAGTTCGAATAAAGTGACGGTCAGTGTAAAAGACAAGCAACAAAAAGCTGTTCTTAAGGTTTCTCTGTGCATTTGTAGGCACATTTCACAGGAACATCTCGCCACTAGTTTCTAGCACTGAATCTGGAGTAGCAGGTTGGCTGTGGGTTATCCAGGTTACATTATTCCACTGGTTGTTACAGTAGCATAGGACTTTCCCAGGAAGAATCCACTGGATATAAAGTTAGATCACACAGCGTTAAAAGAAACCACGTCATCATGGGTGATCACGATACCTTAATCTTTTTTTGTTCCTTTAAAAAATTGTTCCACAAGTATTGGCAATCAAATTGTCCAAGGTCTGAGAAAATTTCAGTAAGAAAATTGGCGCCAATCTCTACTAAACAATGACGTTTGAGCCATTGCGTATTTAGATTAGCAGGGGCTCTAAACAGTTAGCCAAAGCTAACCAAACCTGGTGACCAGCACCTCCGAATGCTGGTTGGAGGACCAGCAAACCAGTCACATTCATTTAGGCTTTCTTTTTCTGATTTTGTTAAACTCATTTTTGCCTTGTTTCGATTGAAACTTTACTGTGAATTAAGGTGTACTGACCTGGATTTATTGGTGAGAAAAGCAGTAATGGTATTGCCCAACAGACTGCTTTTATTAAGAGCACCATCAATAAGCACTGCAGAAAATAAATTTACAGTATGTTCAATTAAATTCCAGACTGTCAGAAACAAGAGCTCTCTCCTCTTGGTAATCACCAGCTCACTGGTAACCCGTTCTCGGTTACGTTTTGAATCCTGTTCCTAACCCTACATTTGTCACCAATAACCTGGGGGATGACCTGAGTTTAAAAGTCATGGCGAGCTAATCCATGTGAATGCTCAGGGAAACCTTAACTATATTTTGTGTAACATGTGCCTTTAATTGTGGCTAGCATCACAGCGTAGACTTGTAAATCAGGGATGATGAGATGTTACTAACGGACCAGATGAATAAAGACGGCAGCTCCTGTAGCGCAAATCCTCTTTGGTCGTCACTGACAATGCTGAGCATCTCGAGCTTCCTCTAAAAGTCTAAGGGCCATTTATGAGATGGGTGATTTTTGGCACTTCAGGAAACTGCCTTGTTTAACCACCTGGTCTGGACACACTGAAGGTGTTGTAACCTTGTGCAGTTGACAAACGTAAGCCTGTAGCTCGGGACCTGGTTCGACTTGTTTCTGAAATGGATTCGGTTACTTCTGTGGGAACATGCAGAGATCGACTCTGAGCGGCTACTTTCATGCCAAAGAGAGGCATGTTCTCTGTACTCACACCTTTTAAAGGGTTTTCAGTAAAGACGACCCAGTGCAGCGTCACTGCTGCTCTCACCAAACCGAGAAAGCAGCTGAAGAGATTTCAGAGGTTGAGCCAGGTCTTCTCTTTAACAGACATGGTGTACTTTTTCAGTCTTGCGGTGCATGCATTTATTTATTTTGGATCTTAAAGACATTCAGTAGATTTGGACACATTCAAAAGATAAGTTTAAGTTTGTTTTCTCTTTTTTTGGATCAGTGTTGCTTTGTCTCAGTTCTTCTTGACCTGAGTTCGGCTAGCAAAGCCAGCGATGAATAACATCGTATGTGAATAGACAGTGATACCACTTTCACCTTTTTTAGGAAATGTCACAGGAAGTAACCAATCGTGAAACAGGCTTTCTTTGAATTTCATTTTTTCCTTTTACAAAAAAGTATTATGGCTGTCGGCTTTACTTATCATTAATCTGTTAGGACCTTTGCTTTTACTGCAGCCATGTTGCATTTTCTTTCCTCTGTAAGCGTTCTCAGCAGTGCATCGACAGATTGCTCGAGTGAAAGTAACCCATTTATTGTCAGTAGAGCTTCAATATTATGGAGTTTCTGTATTTAAAGAAAACGGTTAGAAAAAGAAGGGAGGATGGCATACTGTATATAATGATGTCATTATTTGTCTAAGAAAAGATGTTTCAAATGTGCACTTATCCTGATATATTCTTTTTTTTCTGTTTAGTTTGCTAGAACTCTTGATAATAAACTTAACGTGTGGAAAAAATAGTGTTCTCCAAGCAGGATTGAGTCACATTCAGCTTTCATTAATAATGAGATGTCCATAATTTTGCACAACTTTACTGAAAGAGAGTTTTTTGTTTTTTTTCTTTTGTTTTTGCCAGACGGGGAAAATCCACAATGAATGGTTGAAATCACATACAGAAGGTTTGCTAAGACTGATTTTGACTAGTCTGTACAGTGTTTAGTTGATTCAGTGGCACTGTGTTACTTTTATAATGCGTCCACTAATTTTCTGAAACAGCAATTAAGTCCATCCAAATAATGCACCAAAGTTCATAGTGATACTCCATCCAAAATATATTATTTAGTATACCTGTCTGGTTGGGCATAATTTAATTTAAAAAATGTCCAGTGACATTTTTCAACTCAGGTCTTTGGTAATGATTGGCCATGTTTACCACTAGCTACCACTATCCACTAGTCCAGCAGTCCCCAGGCCACGAACCGGTACCGGTCCGTGAGTCATTTGGTACCGGGCCGGGAGAGTGAGACTCGGGTGTGAAATGTATGGTTTTCAGGGTTTTTTATTGGTTTTTAGCGTTATTTTGTTATCGTTTTTTTTCGTTAACTCTGTTTTCCTGGGTCTTTTCACCTGTGTTATGAATAAATCTTATTTTTATTGGTATCGGTACTAGTTTTATTTTGTTGTATTTATCCGTAACACCTTAAAGGCCAGTCCGTGAAAGTATTGTTGGGCACAAACCGGTCCGTGGCGCAAAAAAGGTTGGGGACCGCTGCACTAGTCCACCAACGGACCATGTAAGGTTAGGGCTGAGTTTTGTCTTAGCCATACGTACATTTTCAGCGTTAATCCATTGATTTCTTTTATTTGGGTGTTCCAAAGAGCCACCAGTTTTTTAAAGGGTTGAGGTTAAACTAGCTAGAACTTGACCAATATCAACAGTTAGTCCTCAAATATGATGAGACCATCAACATTAGGCTCATGTCTATGTGCTAACAGATGCAGCTAAGAGGTGGTTAGCCTAGCTAAGCACAGGTTCTATCCAAAGTTTAAAGGCGCCTTTAGGGTTGCTGAAGATGCACTGAGATGTTAAAATGTGGTGAATTAAGCTTGTAATTGGTAATTAAAAAGCATTCATTTAACTTATTAGGTACAGCTTGTTATTGGGTGACCATAAGTCTGCTTAGCTGTTTACCCCATAGCATAATGCCATGCTAAGCTAATCACCTCTTTGTTTATTTTTCTCCCATAAAGGATGCATTGGTCTACCTACAAGCATGTACCAGCTTTGGTAAAAGCTTGCCTCCTTCTGTAACTGAAGTAACTCATGTTTAATGTGGATTTTCCCTTTAATTTAAAGCCAGTAAATGTGTCTTATACCCTGGACTTGTCATCTTTTTATGTACAGAGACCCAAATGACTAATAATGAGAGTTTTGTTAGGATTCCCTTAACCTCTTTTTCTTTTAAAATACTGTAATGTTTTCATAAATTTACAGGTAAGACTTTTCTTGCAAGAGCTGATTCTCTTTGAAATGACAAAAAAAAAATTGTATTGAGTCTACAAATGTCCTACTTTCACACCGTCGCACCAGTGACAATGAAATTCTTTGCATTTTTGTGTGAGCTACAACCTGCTTGTTGGTGTATTTTATTGTGCCTCCTAACACAAAGTTCAGAGTAGAAGTTTTTAATTTCCAGACCGAAAACTACATTTGGGAGAGCTGAAGTTTTTTTTTTTTTCATGCTTTGGTTGCCTTTTTAGGGGCATTACTAACAAACTATAGTTTGAAACCAAGGCTTATATACTGTGGAAAATGTACATTTAAAAAAAAAAAAAAAAAAGCAGTAAAGGACTGTTGCATGCTGACCAGTTTGGGTCATTGGAAAAATGGTACTAAGGAAGCCTTTGCGTTCAAGTTTCCACAACTTACTGGTTGTGGCCTTGTTATTCAGTTCTGTGGTTTTTGAGTGACTTGCATTGGAAACAACTCACTGTGAGTATCCTGATACGTGGTATCTAGCCATGGGAAACACTGCACATGTGGTCACAAGGGATGAGGCATCAGAAATGTTTGCCTAGAAACAGATTTGCGTGATATGTGAAGTCCCTAAAGAACGTTTAAGACTAGAAACGCTTCACTGTGTCCACCTCAGTGGCACTGATTCCTAGAGATTAATCAAAAGAACCGTATAGGTTGTAAAGATGCGCTGTACATTGTTTGACACCCCAGTTTAAATTTCAGTGGTGGGGTTTAAAATGCCTCCCTAAAAAGCTGTTAACACACTTGAAGTTTCAAAATGTGAGCCTAGTGGGTTTGGGATGGAGGTTTGTCTGCTTGTGACATTTTCAATCTTTTTAGCATTGTCATTGCAAATAGACTGTTAATAACTGAGTGCAGAAATAACTTTCACTGGAGGTTTCTGCCTTACAGGACAACAAAGAAACGGCATGATTGAAAGTTTACTGTCAGTTGACATAAATACAACAATACAAGTATTGGACAGTTTTTCTTGTGAAACGTTGCTGTGTTGAGGATGTTTTCTGGCAGATTGTCTGGTAGTACCTTGTTTTTTCTTGATAGAGAGGGGATCTGGATGATTTGATGTGCATTTGTTGTGGATTCTTACTCTTACAGCAACAGTTTAACGTACAAAGGCAATGACGTGACCAAAGTATGGACCCGTCACGTTGGGGTTGCAGCATGGTTTACGGGGAACCATCTAAAGAGATGAGACCTAAAATTGTCATTGTTGTTGGTTGCTATTCCACAGCACATGTCAGCAGACATTTATTTGCAGAATGTATATACATAAGCAAATACTATCTAGGCACATTGTTGGCTGTTCAACTATATTATGCCAGGAAGTGAAGACACACAGAGAATCTGTAGATACTTCAACCAGGGTAGAGAAAAAAAACCCGCTGTAAAACCTTGTGTGCACTTTTTGGGCATTTTTCTTTTCTTTTGTACATACTACTACTAGCATTTAAGATGTTTGGGTTGACATGTCTGGTTATAGTGCAATATATTTTGTATGCAAGCAGTTTCAATAAATAAAGGTCGATCTTCCTCAATTAGTGCTGGCTGTTTTTTTTATTTTACCTTAGCATGCGGGCAGTTTGATAACAGAACCAAGATCATTTGATTGTTGGTCCCTTGTTTTGCAGAGGAGTTAGTCTTTACTCCATTATTGCAAGGTGTCCTCCAAAGCAAGCCCAAATCATCATCCTTCCACCACCGTGCAAACCTAAGCCTTACCATTTCTCTAGTGTAGGCGGTAGGTGGGAAAAAATTGTGGATGCAATGTAAAAGGACACACAATCCCATTCAACTGTAGCATTTAAAAAAAATTTAAAAGCAACAACAGCAGTCAGAAATACCCTCCTGTTTTCACTGCCCCATACACACATTAATTTCAAAACAACACAGAAGTTGGGCCATGAACCTGTGTGTGTGCACCGGTTGTATGTGGAGATCCAACGTGAAACAATAGCACAGCAGATTCAATTTATTCTGAATCCCATAACGATCATAATTTAGCTTTATCAATGGGAAAATTAATTTTTAACAGAACTTCCTGAACTGGAGAGCCATTGCTGCTCACCTTGACCATCGGCAGGCTCTTGACAAACACAGGTCTTTGGACTTTTGTGGTCTGATCTTTGGACAGATTTGCTGGGACATTCACTCCTGGAAGATTGTGGTGTTAAAACATACCTGAATGCTTCAAAGCATTCTCTGTCCCCTACTCAGCCTACTTCTCCAACAGGCTTCTTCCTGTTAGAAGTGCGTCCTTCCTTCCCACTGTGGTCAAGTGCTGCCCATAGGGATCATCTGATTATTGGGGTTTTCTCTCTAATAGTGTGGGGCCGTTACCTTAAAACGTAATGCACCTTTAGCTATTGGTGACTGTTGTTGTGAATTGGTACTATATTAAAAATAAATTGCATTAGGTTGAGTATAGACATCATCAGCATTTTGAGGCCTTCGGTGAAATGACCACTTAAATGCAGCCTGAATGAAAAGAGGTTGTTACGAAAGTGAATCAAGAGTCAAGGCCAAACCGCTCTACTCTGCTGCTGCCTCTAAAATTGGACAACGACAAACTCTCGAAAATCATTTAGACACAATTCAAGTGGAAATTAGAATAAGTGTCCTAAACGACTAAATACTTACAATCACCTCTCACCATAGTCCTCTGAAGCTTTCTCATGAAAATCCACTGAAAGCAAATAAAAGAAAATCAGATTAAGCATTTATAACTGCTTATTAACAAGGTGATTATGTTTACTTATCCCGAGAGCATCGACTGTGTGAGAGTTACTGCTTGTTTCTTCTCAGGCTTTAGAACTTTTCTAATATTCCTGTTTATAAAAGAACTGAACTGCACTGAAGAGCAGCCAAACATTAGAAAAGACTCCTTATTGGATGTGTCCTTAGATTTGAAAAGATTATAAAAAGATTATATTTACATGTAAATTAGTGATGAGATTGCTTTTAGTTTCAGTGAATGTTAACTTCACTCGCACTGTAAAAGTAATAATCACAGCAGTATTTATTAAAAAGCATCTGGACACGATGTTACCTTTTGTTCTGAAACTTTGAATCGAGTCTGTGTTTGTTGACTTTGTTGAATCAGTTCATTGAGCTTCAGGTAAATACCGACATACTGAACTACTAGACGTTAAAAGGAATTTGCGATATTATTTCATTAACTTTGCCAAATTGAATTATAAGTATTTAAATACATATTTGTTTGCTTTTTGGAAATTAAGATAAACGTATTTATTATTTAATAAAATAAACAATGAAACAAATCCATACATGTATTACGTCCACAAAAATAAACAATTAAAATAATTGTACTCAAACTGATCTAAAGTAGATTAAAATGGGTTTCAGTGGGGCAAATAACAAAAACACTTTTCACACACAGAATGAATATATACAAAATATAATACTATTGTCTTAAAAGTAGGTCACTGGTGCCTGAGGCTGCAAAACAAGCCTGAGTTATGACCCGTCCACCACCATGCTTTGGTTTGTAGACATGAGGCGTTTGGGTGTGGTTCGGTGCTGTCCATTATGGTCAGACATTTCCACTTTGGAAATTCCAGCAGTCCTGTGGTTTGTTGCGATGCAGCTTTCCAAGTAAGTTTTGCTGCTGTTTTCTTTTCAGAGAGAAAGTGTTTTTTGCACATCCTGACATTGGGGTGAATTTCCTGGAACATCCACTCCTGTGAAGATTGGTGGTTGTGAATATTTTCCACTTCTGAATAATCTTTCTCACAAAAGATTGATGGACTTCAGACTGTCTGGAAACGACCTTATAACCTTTCCCAGATTGTTGGGCAGTGACAATTGTTTCTTTAAGATCACTGCTGATGGTTTTCCTCCTCCGCTGTTCTGAAGATGTACTTACCTCATTTAAATGGGCCAGGCGACTTGTTTTATTATGTCCTGACACCTTAAAAGGTGCACTTTCTTGTGCAAATCAATCATCTCAGCAACCTGCAGGTTACTCGTCAGCTGCTCAAACCTCCAGTTGTTTTCTCATCTAATTTGTCCACCTGTGCACAGCAGGCTAGATCCAGCTGGTTCCTTGATTGAGAAAAGCTACCTCTTGATTATGATATTGATTTGTATCGTCTCTAAAAATTTGTTTTTTTCCAAAGCCTTTAAAGCTTGTGTGTGAGCTGTGAGAGAATGAACAGTGTTTTATCGGCTTCCTCCTTCTGCAATTCTTACTTTGAGCCACATGGGGGAGCTGTAGCACTGTGTTGCCTCCCTGCTACCAGAGAGCAAGAGAGAGAGGCGCATGGGAAAAGGATTAAAAAAAAAAAAGAGCCTGGGCTCATATTGAAAATTCATGACATGCACTTCTCAACTTCTGCAAGATACACAGCAAGTATAATGAGCTCAAAGCACAGAACTTGGTTCTTCCTGACTATTTTATCAGTTTGTATTTCTTTTCCAGCTCAGTCAGTGTGTGTGTGTGTGTGTGTGTGTGTGTGTGTGTGTGTGTGTGTGTGTGTGTGTGTGTGTGTGTGTGTGTGTGTGAAAGACTAACTCCCGTGCCATCATTTAAATATAAATTACTGGCATTGACTGTGGCTTCAAACAATATCACAAATGACGCAAACAAAAACAATTAAAAATCTCTAAACAAACAAAGAGACACTCCTCTGCGAAGGCTGCGTAGCATGGCATGAGCAGGAAAGGAAAGACAGATTTGGCCTTAATTACATTTTCCCTTCACGTTCATCCATCTCTTTATCATCTGATTCTTCATTAGCTCACCCCACAATTGCTTCTTTTTTTTCTTAAACTGTCCTCTGTCTTTTTTATCCTTCTCCTCTCCGTCGCCCCTGTCGTTCCCTGTCGTTCCCTGTCGTTCCCTGTCTGACCTAGTTTTGGGCGGCGTTTCTCTCACACGCACAAACCGGTGGTCCTTCAGGTGCTTTAAATCCTTGAGAAATGTTTGAATTTTGATGTGATGTTTTTAAGGTCTGGAGATGTGCAGAGTTTTTTGAGGTTGAAATGTCTGGATTTGATCAAGGTCATGAAACTGTTTTCATTTGCACTGTTGCTAGAGGACAGCAATCTCGTCTTCCCATCATCCTCCATGGTTTCCATCTTTTCTCTTCTCTGCTATTGTTTTTCCAGTGTGATGCAGACTAGTGTTGGCATGTTGCCCCAGACCACACCGAAATATTCACACACATACACAAAGTGACACGCCAACGCACAGCCTGCAGAATCTCTTCAAATCTTATTCCCGATCCACTTGGACTTCCCCCTCTTCAAGCTTCTTTTTTATTTCTTTATTTCTTTTAAAGGAGAGGACAGTGACGTCACAATGGAGTCTCAGTTACAGCTACGGCACATGCTGAGTGAGAAGTTTCAACCATCTGGTCAATCGTTATTCATAGCGAGGCGTAAACAGTAAAACGTGCCGCCGGGCATGTGTTGCAGAAAAAGAGCGCGAGGATGCTAAGCTGCTAGCTCGGCTCATCTGAAACAAAGGTGTGGTGGTTAAAAGAAGGCACACGGCTGCTTTGTGAGGGGTTCAAAGACCACCTGGACTTCATGGACAGAGGATTTCCTTCTTCTATGACATCCAATCCTCCGTTCAGGTAAAGTACAGAAACAGAATAACCACAGCTGCCTGAGCAGCCAATGTGCTGATCATCATCAAGCAAATGGCAATTTCCATCCACCCGGCGGTAAACTTGTTTGCACCGCCAGTGAAAGTTCAGGTTTTCAGCGGCTTTATCGTTCGTCACAAAGTAACAAGGTTTCAGCGAGAAAGCCTCCAAATCAGACACTTTAATCATGCAGCACACAAAAATCCAAAAAACACTTAAAATGACTCTTTCAAATAATCCCAGTTTGCTCAAAAAGCAAACAGGTTTTTATAGAAATCACAAACTCAGGAGCTTAGCATAACAAGACTCCACAGGATTCAGACTCTGCTGGCTACAAATATGCATTCAGGTGAAGACGTCCAAAAAAGTTTCGTTCCCTGCTCCCTTATCCACAAACGGGTCATCACAGCATGTAGCTTCACACGTTTGTTTTTAGCATGATTACACACCAGATGCCCCTCCTGAGGGATTTGTGTCTCCAGCTCATTGGTACAAATCATTTATCACAAAGACAGTGCCAGCCAGCCACGCCAGTGCTGTCTGTCAGCTGTAGGCTGCTGTAGAAATACACTGGATTTCTACAGCATCAGCTGATATATTTTATATTTATTTACATACTTTGAAATCTCTGGTTGTAGCTTCACCGTGTGCACAGCTGTGATGCTGCTCTGCTACATGTGCTGCTGGGAGCTGAAGCAGATCTGCCATTATCAACTGATATATTGTTCTAATGCTTACCAATAGAGAGTGTTTGCTTCTTTGTAAGTTTATTTGCCTGTACACACACACACACACACACACACACACGTGTGTGTCTTGAGTCTTTGAAAAAGAGGTCTTGGGCAGGGTCGTAGTTGGTAAGAATTTGTTGTTTTTTCACAAAGAGGTCATGGGTTAAGCCCTCTGTATATTTGGGGGATTTGGGAATCAGCTTACAAGGATTTTTCACTCATCATAAAAGCACAAATCATGCTAGGTCCATTGTGAAAGCCTAGTTTGAATTAACCTCAAGTTATACCGGCCTATTAGACATTAGGGTGCTGAGATCTACACAAAAAGGAATTGAATTAAAGTTAAATGCATGAACAGGTTCAGATCTTAGCTAACAACCTCTGTGTCTCTGAAAATCCTGGTTGTAGCATTTTATGGTGCACAGTGTATTTATGCATTGCTGTGTGCACAAAGGCTCTTAACAGAAGAAAGTCTAATGTAATTTTCTGTTTCAAGGAGTGTGAAAACACACAAAAAGAAATCTTTTGTGTTGTGTACACGGGGTGACTGTCAAGTTTAGAGGTATGGGGCACCTTGTGATCAGATCAGAGGTGTGGTGTCATATGTGTGGCTTCCTGCCTGATGAAGATTAAAAACCTCACATGTCAACACCTTGCACAATTACACGGCACTTTTTTTAAGGGCGGCATTTAAACCATTTTCCAGCTGCTGTCAAGTGACTGATTCACACATTTATTTTGGTCAAATGTGCAATATAAATAGCTCTGCTTGTTATGAAGAACATTTTTGCAGTGACTTGTCTCCCACAGCATGAGTGTGTGTGTCTGTGTGTGTGAGAGAGCGCTCCCTCCCTCCACCTCTGCCTGGCTGTCAGCTTGCCTCGACCACGTAGCAGCTTCCTGGCAGCGGCAGCAGCTTGTGTCTACTCTCCCTCGCTCTCTCTCTCTGACACACACACACACACTCAGTGTCAGTAGCCTATGTAGAACCACGTAGCACCACCTTTGGATTTTAACCACCAACAGCACCAGCCCAAGCGGCAATGGATCTCTTTGAATTCGACTTTTTCAGAGACTGGGAGCTTGAACAACCATGGTAAGTCCTGTGCGCGCAGCTTTAGATTCTTATGTGTGTGTGTGTGTGTGTTTATAAAATGCATGCATATGTGTGTTTATTGTGGAGGGATGGCCGGACATGCTTTCTGGGGTATAAATAAAGATTCTTGTATTTTTGTCTGGAGATGCAGCCAAACTGAGTCTCGGAGAAATCGCGCACACCGTCTTTCTTTGTCACCGTAAAGCTGCCGTTGTTGCTGGAGATGAACCGGGAGGCATGCACACACACACACACACACACACACGCACACACTATAGCCAGCCGGTGCAACGCCGGCTTTTTACTGTTTCGTTGTGAAATTAAAAATAATAATAAAAAAAAAATAAAACGTTCGGCGTAAACGTGAGACCGGACACCGGGGAGTGTGGCGGAGCGCTGAGCAGGGAGGGATCGGCGTAAACGTGAATGAACTGCGTCCCCACAAGTTTGGGCAGTTTAGTGTTTGCTCCATTTCAGTCCCTAAAGAATCACGTGTCCTGGTGACATTTCAGTTCAGCTCACCTGGTGCAGCGCAGGTGTAAAGGCGCAGCGTCACATCCATGGAGGCATAGCGATGGAGTGATGACGCTCAGTCAGTGTTTGGCCGTGTGTTGACTGAGCATCACTGCAAAGTGGTTGTTACTGTAAACGCTTAAAGTAGATCATCCCCATCTTTAAATCCAGTACTGTTGACAGCATTGAGAGGTCTGTATCAGCCTCGTGTTGTTTGGCACACTTGGTCCTTTTTTTGTTGTTGTTGTTGATTCAGAGCTGAACTCATTAGTTGACAGTCAGGACGAACACTTGACTGTAATTTTAAAAGCAGTAAACATTCTTCTGGATCCATCCACTCTCACTGAAAATGATCCTCAGTGAAAATCAGCACATAAGTCAGCTGGTATCTGCTCGCTGTTTATATATCAGGACCTGATATCTATGGCAAGACATTAAATGGACTGGTTCTTATGTAGCACTCAAAGCACTTTGTTCTACATCTAAGTGCTTTCGTTCTCACACACACACACACACACACACACACACACACACACACACACACTCTGATGAATGCATCAAGAGAAAGTATCTTGCCTGAGGAGAATTTGGCACATAGACCGGAGCAGCCAAGGATCGAACCGCCAACCTTCATGAATAATAGATGACCTGCTCTACCTCCTGCCATCCTGTTAAAGTGCAGCACACGAGTGGCACAGTGGTGAAGCGGTTAATACTGCTGTCTCACAACAGGAAGGTTCTGGGTTCGTCCCTTCCTGGGACCGTTCTGTTTGGAGTTTGCATGTACCGTCTGTGTGGGAGCTTCCAAAGGCTTAAATGTTAGGTCGAGACTAGAAAAGCGCATTGAGGTGATGCTTTCTATCTTGAATAGCTGCATAAAGTAGATTCATTTCAGGACATGTTGGGAAAATGTTATAGTTCACCAATAAAGAAAAACATTTAAGATGATGTTATTAATTAGATCTCTGCTGATCATAGGGCGAGAAAAGGTGGAAATCATGGACAGGTCACCCATCACAGGGTTTTAACAAGCGAAATTACAATTTACAACCTCCACCAGAACCTTCCTGCACTGAATCCCACACATTTATATTTTGAGGCTTATTTTTACTTTGACCATCCATCCATGACTTACTTCTGGATGGTCCGGTTGCTTATTTTGAAAATCCAGTTGCTGCTTCAGGCTTTACAGTACAGTGTTTCCACATAGGCGGGCTGGTCTGGTTGTTGTCGTGACAGTCCTCGAATGTGTCCGATTCCTCCTGGTGTCTGGAGATGTGCTGTGACTTGGAAGGCCACATAAAGCAGATCTTGCTGGGTTCCCAAAGAGCACAAGGTCTACTGTCACCAGCTGTAGTCCAAGACACTGGAACTGAAGTCTCCTGTTGCTCTATTGGATACTGTCACAAAGTATTTATGGTATTATTTATGCATTAAAAGGCATGGGTGTGCAGTGCAGTATAATTGTATGGGAGGCGACAGGCGCCGATCACTGCACCACCACGCTGCCCCTTTATAAAACTCTAAAATCTGTATGATACTATTAATCAGTATCAGTGGTACTATCATCTATAATGAAAGTCATTCTTGTGGATTCTGCTCCTCCTGCATGCCTCTGTGAAGTCATTTTCTATGCAGTAGAGGACATAAGAACAAAGAGCCACATGGGGAGAAGTGCTTTTTAAGGCTTTTAACACTATGGAGGCCTAAAAAGATGCTGGGGTTTTCAAAAAGATGATAGAGAGGCTGGAATCTGCAAGAAGTTAAACATAATTCAGTCTCTCAGCGTGATTTGGAATTTATTCTCGCACTCATTTGTGCAGAAACTGGGCGTGTGGAAAGTAATGGAGGGGCAATTTGAACCTTTCAGAACACTTTGTCAGGCTCTGGTTGTACTGGTGGGCAGCTTCCTGTTGAGGTCACAGCTTCAACTGCAATTCATATTACAATTTTTTTTAATTCAAAGTAATTAATTTTGCCTTTCAATCAGCCATTTATCATCAACCCTGGAATTTTTTAAAATAATTGCTCCACTTACCAATTCAGCAATCTGATGCAGAGTCATGTGCACGATCAGAAACAATGCAGGCAGAATGCTTCATACATGGCGTCATGTATGCATGTCATATCTATATAAATATATATATGATTTTATTCTTCTGGATTAACAGCATTTTTAAAATATCAGCTTTTATTAAAAGATTATCAAGTGTCTCACTTCATGCTGCATATTTCTTGTCACTTGGTGGAAACATTCAGGAGGACTGTAGGAAGTAAGGTCTATATAACAGTCAGCCTTTCCAGTCTAACTGTGTATTACAGAGGGAGCACAATAACTTGGCAACCACGCTGCTGTTTTGAATGCGTATTCCAGCAGGGAGAGTCTGAGTGGGGAAAGTGACACACACTGCTGTCCCTCAGCAGCTACCGTGGAAGGGCCCTGGAGCAAGGTACTTAACCCCCCGCTGTGGGAGTGGAGCTGCTCAGGGCTCAACAACAAGCTCGGGGTGTCTACACATGTAACCCTCCCCCTGCCACCACTCCATCACGCCAGAGCTGTCAGGTGGTCCTGATGGGAAATTGGGCTCACACTGAAACGGCTTTTAGGCCAGAAAGAATATGAAGAAAATACAAGAAAATGTTTTTAGGAAACTGCAGAACAATGAAGGCAGCTTATGTGTGTCGATCAGCTTCTCCCTCATTTAGAATTAAACAGTCACAATCTGGAAACATCACGCCAGGTCTGTTTATGTAGCTGTCTGTGGGTGTATTACAGCCAGCACGTGCCACCCTAGGGGTCTGGACTCATCCAAGTGCCCTTGAGGGAGTCACAAGAAGCTGGAAGAAAAATGCTTTCTTCTATAGCAAATCATATTAACGTGTCAGATGCGATCCTAATCTTTTATGTTTGTAGAAGAAGAAAAATGGAGCACTGGGGTCCACAGTGTAAGCAATGATTTTATTTATGAGAAGCCCTACGTAGGGTTGAAGCACCAGGATTTGCCAGTTTCCTTCGCAGTGCTGGTCATGTTGTTAAAGTGTGGCACTTTGGCAGGGCGTGTTAATTTCCTGCTTCTCACAGAAGTCAGTAGAGTTGGCTTATTTAAACCTGCAGATTGTCAGTATATTGAAGAATTTGAATCAAATCTTTATTTTGAACAATTTCTAATGAACATAAAAACTGAATGAACCTAAATAGAAAGGCGTCATATTCACATTTCCAATTCAAAAAGCAACAGAAGGAAGCAAACGTTGAGTAATTCTCAGAGATTCTACAATAAACCGGTGGGAGCAGCACGCATTATGCTAGCCCAGCATATTTAGCACGGGCCAGCATGTTAGCTCAAGAGTTTATTGGACAGGAAAACAGAGTCTTGTACACTTGCGTTTTTTTCCTGTAGTACTCGACATCAACTGCACAACAGGTCTCTGCCTCACTACGTTCACTAGCTGTACTGATAAGAATCTCAGACACCATCAGTGTAGAAGTCTCAGCTCTAGCTCAACACAACAGGAAGGAGACTCTCCTCATGGAGCCGTTCAACCCTTTACAAGTACCAACTGTGATTCTCAAACAGGGAGGCCCCTATATGATTAAAATAAAAGCAAAATGTAATGATAAAAATGGTCCTATATGTTTGTTCAATCACATCAGCCATCATAGTCAACATATTGCAACAGAAAATATTCAGGCTAATTATTTTTCACCATAAGCAAAACAGGCAAAGTTTTCCAATCAGTAGAAGTGCACAATCCATCCTGGTGTCTTGAAAAAGCCAAATCCCTTCATGTGTTAAATGTATCTATTTAAAAATAAGAGTGCGTATGAAATGTACCTGACATTTCAATGTCGTCAGTTTGGAAGACACAAGATGATTCAAAATCAAGTTTAATCTGACAATCAGATTGTCAGATTTAACAATACCCCACCCACGTGCTCTTAGTTTGTTAACTCTTCAATTTATGAACTTATGACAGGTGGAAAACCATAGAAGACCTAAACCTGGTGAAGTCTAAGTCATCACAGGTGGTAACCGTTATCCTTTATTTTGGAGATTTGGGGAAAAAAATGTGAATAGCTTTCGATGAGAATGATTCTTTCCCTGATTTACAAGCCTTGGAAGAACAGGTCAATACAAAAAGATTCATCTAGCCCTGGGTTAGAATTAGGGTTAGGGTTGGAGAGGGCTCATCACCAATGACGGCTTAGACCTCAGAGGGTTAAGTAAAGACCATCCAAAAGCACCGTTACCCAAACAACCATAAATCAATAAAAACAGCTAAATAAATTCAGCTGAAATTCAATTGAAGCGTATTTCAGTTGAGAATGGAGGCCAACTTTTTTTATGCTTTTCCTGTCCGATGTCGTCTCTTAACCATCGGCTTGTACCAACATCTCTAAAAGCCGCTTTTGATGTTGGTGGCGAATCTGTGCTAATAAATGTTCAAATGGGCTCAGCTGTCCAAGATGATAACAAAGATAACGG